AAGGAGTCCTGTATGTATGCAATACATGAGAAATTGACAGCAATGTGATCATTCTGGGGCCAGACTTGATTGTCAGAGGGAGGATTCCAAGTAGCGCTAAGGTGGTGGCTCTACGGAAAGTTGGTGGTGGGTAGACATAGGTTGCGATCTAAACAAAGATGCAGGAGACCATATCCATTATCTGATCTACGAGCATATAGAGTCCACTGGCAACCAAGACAACCACCATGTGATCCTAGACGCCCGACGTTTGCATTCAATTCTTAGCTAGCCCTAAGATATCTTTATGACCCGACGGTTTCAGAAGCTCGCTCAGCTGATGTTAAAACCCATCACTGATTACGTATAAGCAAAGATGGTAAATAGGCGTCACCGACTGCTTCATATTCTCATATAGTCTTCTAGCTTCATAAAGCATAAATGACTGTTAACTGGGATCCAATCGAGTGATGCAGATTCAACCTCAGAGCTTGTTGAGACATCAAGACCATCTGCTCTGGATATCGACTCCACAAGGTCCCATGATAAGCGTCAGCGGCACACACCATTTGAAATTCCAGATGAGGAAAATACTCGAGGTACTTCAGTGGGAATTTCAAAGCACACCTCTAAAATGCAGCACACATCGTTAATTAGCTTTCTAATGTTCTGGTCAGAACTTTCTCTTTTTCAAAATGCACCAGTGTGCGAACATCACAAGCGGAAAACTTGAATGAGACACACAGTCCCAGGATATCCGTTCAAGATGTCGCACTGGAAATCAGTACTTTGAAGGCTACTGTCTAACAGCCCAAAACGGAACGTATACACCAAGAATTCAACGAAGGCAAATGGCTGACACAACTGAAGACACTACGGATAGTAAAGCTGATAAAAATAAAACAAAAAGGAACACTTTGCTAGAAATATGAATTTGGTTTTTAATAGTTGAAATCTCTTATAAACTGCTGTTTCTATGTTCGTGCAAGTGGGACACTGCCCAGGTATCCATACGGAAATAGGTAGTTGTCTTAAGGGACCACCCTTGGAGTGAGAAGATGAGTTCTTATGGTTCCAAGGGACGAAAACAGGTTTATAAGCCATCCCATCAGATCAGATTCTGGAGCTCATTTACACCACAGGCTTGGAATCACGATTTCCCAACTCTAGGATGGATAGTTTATGTACTTATATATATATATATATATATATATATATATATATATATATATATATATATATATATATATACTAATTTCTACGTATCCAATATGAATGGATGTTCAGCAGAACTTTAGTTCGAGAAGACAGAAATCTGTGAACTTTGTTCAATTCAATATTTCAGTAGTATAACAAGAATTACAAATTAATTTGCATTACACATGTCACTCTTAAATTCAGTTCATGTATTATTTTCAATTTTGACAACATTTACTTTAAGGTGTATCTCCAGCAAATTGTGGCTAGTGCGTTTAATTACAACAATACGCCCTAATGCTGTATTTCAATGGAAGGAATACCCACCTACATCCATAAATATACGCAACAATAAACAAAAAACGACGAATTAATAGCCAAGTAAACTATAAGACTCATCCAGGTATATAAACGAAATGATCTACTGTTAGTGTGGTGTAGAATCGAATGAATGTTAAATGAATTTATTTAACTTTCTCAACTTATGCATTTTTTTGTCATTTCTACCTGAATTATGCCTGGGAAAATGTAAAATACCAAATGATGTTGAAAATGTAAGTTTAAAACCATCTTTATTTTATTTTTCTCATTCATGTCTTAAATATAGTATCATAGCAATCCTGTCGGAAGTGTATCAAAACGGACGGTTTATACTGCACAACTGAAAATAGTGCCTCATTACACTAAGGAAATACAGGCACGTGCTGATTTCGCAGAAATGAAAGTAAGGTGTTACTAACTATTGTTCATGAATTTTATGTTTATTAATTATTAAAATTGGTAGAAGTTAGAATTCATGAGCCATTGAATCGGGTCCCAGTGGCTGAATGGTTTATGGGCCAGCTTTCCTTGTAACTGGAAGGTCCTGAGTTCGAATCCCAGTGGGTGCGTACTCCCGATGATTCCCAAACTAGGATGAAACAGCAGCTGTCCAGTACTCCCTGGTTTTCAATGGTTCTCTAACTGATATCAATCCGTGATCAACTTGTAAAATATAAAAGTAATTAGTCGAGCATAGAAACGCAAACTAGAAACTGTTGTGAGTAAATCTTTTCTATTCTGAATGAATAGAATTTCATCTTTATTGCGCTTCATCAGCATTACGTTCAAGTATTTTATTGCTTTTGAAAGTGCAAAGATGTCGTTGTTTTTTCTTAATTCTTTCATATAATTAAATCAGGATCATTTTATTAAAGAAACAATAAAGGTAGCAGAATTCCTGTAAATACATACAGTTATATCGTGTTTCATTGTCTTAAATAAATCCTTCATTTATATGTTTATTGATTTCATAAAATTGAATTTAAGCATTTGATATTATATTGAGTAAGCTACTGTCCTTAACGATGAACTGTAATCAATGCCTAAAACGTTAACATCTTACAAACAATCAGCATAACTTAGAAATCATTGGAAAATATGTCTAACGCTGCTTCGAACCGTAGTTAGAATATTTGCCTGAAAGTATGTTCACTAGACATATATGTATATATATATATATATATTCGGGATCTGAAGTCGGACCTCTGCATCTACAAGCACTACCTATATTCAGTCAACACAACGTGGCCATATTAAGGTTCTTTTTATAATTTGCTTCTTTTTATTGTGTATGTTTACTAGCATTATTGATTATGTTATTAACATTATAAATCTCATCAACGTCAGAGGCCTTACGTAGAATTCTCAATGCGGCTGGGATAAAGGTGTCATTTAAATCAACCAACCAACTCTCTCAGAGACAAACTTTGCTGGCTTCAGGACCCAATAGATCCAATCTAGGAAAACAATATAATTCACTGAATACCATGTAATGACTGTGAGTGAGGTCACTTACATAGGACAGTCAAACTAGTAGATCGGTGTCAGCTAGATTATTAGAAGATAAAAATTTAGCTAAACATAGAATAATTGACCCTGATAAGTTAAATAACCTAGAAAATGCCCAGCCGTTGCATTGGATTCGCTTGCATGTAATCACAAAATAGAGTGGGGCTAGGTGAGAGTATTAAATAGTAACACAGTTAGGCGGAGAGAGAAGTTTATTGACTGAACACCACACACGTGGAATTGGAATGACGCAACGCCTATACCGGAGATATGGAAAATGGCAAAATGACAAATGGAATTCGGATGGGCAGAAAGAGAGAATATATGTATAAGATAGATTGTGAAACTGCGTGACTAAGATTGATATGATTATGAGAAGGAATTTATGCTCATAATGTCATCCAATTGTTAATACTGCATCATATCTGTAGGATATTTAAAATAAACTTATCTAACACATGGAATTATATTCTACCACAGTGACCAAGTTCTACACTTACATTAATTAATAAATAGGATTAATAAAAGAAACAAGGATCGACCTCTAAATATATTTCTGGTTACATGGCTATCGAGCTCGTAGACCACTGAGCCAATGGGACCAGATCCAATGGCCCAACGGGTCCCAGTGGCTTAATGGTCTACGAGCTAGCTCGCTTTGTAAACAGAAGGTCCTGGATTCAAACCGCGGTGGGTGCGTTCTGCTCAAGAGTCCCAAACTAGGACGAAACAGCTGTCCAGTACTCCCAGGTTTTCCAGTGATTCTCTAACCAATGTCAGCTCATGATGAAATCCTGTAACCAATAATTGTTGTATTTGCATAACTAATATCTTGCTTGGGTTATTTCATTAACTTGTCTGTTGACTTCCAACAACAACAAAAAAAGAAATTCACATTCAAAGTGTCACATAAAATGTTCACCTGGACGCTCATTTTTCTATTAACTCGTATCATTTATCTTTAATTCATCTAGGAAAAGATTATAGAACCAGCACTTAGACTGTGGGAGAGAATTTTGAAAATTAGATCACTGTCAGCAGAGAGAATCTATCTACAAAGGTAAAAGCTAGATAATTAGCTAACTGATTACTGAATTTTTTATTGTAATTTTTACAATAATTGATATATACTTGAATACAATCAGATTATACCTAAAATAAGAATACTTCAAATCATTTTATGCAGTAGTTATTCAGGTTGAGGATTTCGGTTTAAAAATTTATGGCAAAAGGTTTTTTAATAACTAATGAGACTGTAAGCATTTGAAAAGTGTCATCAAGGCGAAAGACGACTTCACAATTTGTTTAAATAGTTCTACCTCCAGTTCAATTGCCGGATACGACTATATATGATAAGTGAAAGACAGTCTTATTCTACAGGATTTCATCATGAGCTGACATCGATTAGAGAACCATTGAAGGACCTGGAAGTACTGGAAAGTAAGATGTTTCGACAGACTAGTTAGGGACTCTTTATCAGTACGCACTCACCGGTGCCCGAACCCACTGCTGAAGAGTCCCAAACTAGGACGAGACAGCTGTTCAGTACTCCCAGATTTTTACAATGGTTCTCTAACCAATGTCAGCTCATGATGAAATCCTGTAACCAATCAATCAAATCCCTGCAGACTAATACATGAAAGTCTTGTTTTTGTCAGTTAATCTCACTTTTAGAATGTCTCTATTTAGTATTACTTCGAACTGTATTGACCGTTCTTGATACCTTAAAACTCTCTTTCAACAGTTCATCTTCTCACTTTCTGTTTGCCTAATAAAAACACTAATTGTAGCGGTTTACAAGTATACTCATCAGTGCATTCGGTTAGTATTATTCGTAGCCTATTGCGTTCCATCTACCACACATATGACAGTTCTAAATAAACTATATTTGAGAACAATGAAGATTTTCAGACGTACATGATAACATGACCTCTTATTTTCTTTATTCTATATTATTTGCAAGGAGTTGCAAATTGTATGATAAATTCGCCAAAATGCTTCCCAATGGCACACGATATCGTTACTGTAGAAGTGGGTGCGAAGCAGTGTCAAAGTGTTACTCAGGTGTTATTCCAGAGCAATATTTGGACGTAAGTGGTTATTGGTTTTTTCATCGATTATTTCAAGGTCATTTTGCACATGAAATTATGCAGCATCTACTAGCAAATTAATGAAAAACTTTTATCTATTCTTTCACATTTTTTAAAAATTAAGTTATAATATATATTCTTGAGAATAATACTTCAATAGTAATGATTTGTTACTTGATGGTAAACCTCGATCATGAAAATAACTCAGAATGATGTTGGGAATTATTATTAATTCAAGTTGGAGAATTTAGCAGAATGATACAAACAGAAGTATTTTTCTCTTAATTGAATTTTAGATTTTCCCGTCACTCGATTGGACCGAAGTGCTCGGTCTCAGGTTGACATGTCGGCTTCTTGTGCAGATACTTCGACGATGTCTGGGCATTTAATTAGAATCTAATTGGTGGGTGGTGACTAGCAGTGGAATCCACGATTCTAATTAAATGCTCAGACATCGTCGAAACATCTGCACAAGAAGCCGACATGTCAACCTGAGACTGGGCAGTTTAGTTCAATCAATCGACGGGAAAATCAAAAATTCAATTCAATTAATATGACCCGTTGCACAAGAGGTGGCCGGCTCTCGTGGTCCAAGTGGTCTAGTGGATAACTCTTTGGCGTTTGAAACTATGGTCACTAGGCTTGAGCCTCGATGGGAATATCATCACTCACTGGGAAATACAGGTACATCCAGGTGGCGAGTCCTAAAACAGGACGAAATGTGCGTTATCCCGGATTCCACTGCTAGTCACCATCCACAAATTAGAAGCATTTTTCAATTAATTAAGTTTTATAACTGCTTGCTTTACTCCCAAGAAGATTATTATATATATATATATATATATATATATATGTATATATGTATATCGATGGACATTATTGCATGTGTCATTGATGTTCAATAAGCTCTTAATTAAAATTATTTCGGCTCTTTTAAACAAATAGCGCTGTAATGAATGGGTAAACGATCAACCCAAATATTCTGGATCAAGAGGATATGGAATCGGTTATAATGAATTCTTGTTCGTAATTGATTCACAAAATGTCAGCCTCTGTCATTCTGGGAGCACTTTGGCTTACGCAACACACTGTCGGATGGATTCATTCACGGATAGGTTAGTCTGTCTGAAATTCTTATAAACATAAGACTTAGGAAGTACTACATGACTGGAAATGATGACATATTTGTTTGTCTATATATATATATATATATATATACTGATTGTCTGCAGACAATTTCAGTTACTACATATTCCTTTGCAAGATTAAAAGAGAATGACTGTACAGACAACAAACACAATTAGGTAATTTTATAGACTCAGAAAAGTGTTTCCATGTAGTAACATTTTGACATAATTTTCTGTACCTTGAAAAATACAGTTCAAGAAAAAATACAAAAAATTACAAATAAAGACAGAAAGATTGAGCGAAGAAATATCTACTTTTCAATTAGATCCTCATCTCTGGCTCTACTCTAATATATATCGCCACTCGATTGGCAAACTGTTGTATTGTAATTAAAATGCTATACATATATTAGAGTAGAGCCAGAGATGAGGATCTAATTGAAAAGTAAATATTTCTTCGCTTAATCTTTCTGTTTTCTAAATGTATAAATAAGGATTTTTTTCTTTATACAAATAGAGCCGTCAATAATTTAGGCATTGCATAGAAACTTGGAATACCTTCATACGTTTTAAGGTAGAAGATACTTAGTGAATATAATTTAGAAAACAATATGGGAATATTCAATTTACTGGAATATATTTAAGTGTTGGTTTGTAAGGATTTGGTTGGTTTCAGGATTTCATCATGAGCTCATATTGCTTAGTGAACCATTGGAAAACCTGGGAGTACTGGACAGCTGTTTCGTCCTAGTTTTGGACTCTTCAGCAGTACGCACCCACCGGGATTCGAACCCAGGACCTTCTGTTTACAAAGCGAGCTAGCTCGTAGACCATTAAGCCACTGAAATTATAATATTATTATAATTATAATATTACTGGAATATAATTTATTTCCGATTGTGTTACACATGAGTTAGTAATCTGTAGATATGATAGTGAAGGTTTGTAGCTCAGGTGTATGGTTTTGATGAGGTTGTGTCCTATGAGCTAGCTGGATAGTTAATTTGTAAAGCTTTCATCGCCCTACTGGGCAACATCTCCAGCGCATACTTCATTTTGTTGAAGTGAGCTTTCAGATTTCTCCACGAATTTATTAGTCATCTCTCCTACTGAGTGACCTTCTACGTGATTGGTTGTTTGTTTGTGTGTTTTCACACCCTGTAGGCTACTTGTATTAGAATTGATTGTTTCTTTGACTTGAACATTGACCCTTTTGTCTGTGAGATTTCCTTCTTATCGTTCGGTAAATTTTGTCCATCTCGATGTGTCCTTTATATGTGGTAGGGCGATTTTCTTTGTGCTTTCCTTGGAGGCTTTTGATTTGATAGGACATCGCAAAAATCACCGCAAGTCTCTTCAAACCCTTAGGAATTGACATCACACACAAACCAACAAAATCACTTCACTCAGCTCTATGCCAACCGAAAGACTCAACAACAAATGAGATAAAACCAACATTATCTACAAAATAAATTGTAACAACTGCGAAAAACACTACATTGGCCAAAGTGGACGTCCACTTCGTCTTCGTATCCGTGAACATAAGATAGCCGTCAAAAGACATGATATCCACTCACTCCTATCACTACATACAGGCGACCACAGACATCAATTCGACTGGGACAACGTTCAAATACTAGACATAAGAAACACCATAAATGCTAAAGAATTTTTAGGAGCCTGGCTTTCCAGTGAATCATCAATCAATAGACACATCGAGATAGACAAAATTTACCGAACGATAAGAAGGAAATCTCACACACAAAGGGTCAATGTTCAAGTCAAAGAAACAATCAATTCCAATACAAGTAGCCTACAGGGTGTGAAAACACACAAACAAACAACCAATCACGTAGAAGATCACCTAGTAGGAGAGATGATTGATAAACTCGTGGAGAAATCTGAAAGCTCACTTCAAGAAATTGAAGTATGCGCTGTAGATGTTGCCCAGTAGGGCGATGAAAGCTTTACAAATCAACTAACCAGCTAGCTCAGAGAACCCAGTCACATCAAAATCGGTAATCTGTAGATTGCATAAATAACCAGCGAACTATCAGAATTTGATTATATATGCAGCTCATAATAGCATCACTAAACTTAGAAATATCACTTTAGGAACAAAATTTAAACTAAAGACAATTAGACTTCATTCTTACTGTGAATTATCCAATTAATATTTTTAAAAAACAAAAAACAACCTCCCTTTCTTTATTAGTCCACTAGTTTACTGAATGTCCTAAACCCGGAAATCGAGTACAGGTTGTACATGCTAAAGGTATCTACGGATTAAAAGAAGAGCGACTTAGACCTGACTCTGCAAGAACTGGCAAGGAATAATTGTGTTGTCTATACCAAGTAAGATACAAGGTCGCATCATCCTGGAGAGAATAAAAGACGCACTGGATACAGAACTTCGCCCCTCCGGAAGAAGCTGGATTCAGGAAAGCGAATCATGTACGGAACAAATTGCAACTCTACACATCATCATCGAATAAAGCATAGAATGGAAGTTAAGTATCCACCTCAGCTTCATCGACTTTGAAAAGGCCTTCGATAGACGGTGTTGGCCGAGAAGTAATTTGGAAATCACTTCGAAAATATGGTGTGTTCCAAATCTGTTTCTACTTCCCGCAACAGTATTATGACAGTGCCATATATCAAGTGAATCACAACGGAAAACACAGCGAAGCCTCTGAGACAAATAGGGGAATAAAACAAGCCTGTCTAGTATCACCAATGATATTCCCGATTGTGGTTGTCTGGAATATGCAGGAAAACGTGAGAAGTAAGAAGACAGGAATACATTGGAGCAATAAGGTTCTAGAAGATCTGAACTTCTCAGAGTATTTATGTCACATTAATTTGATGACTGACAGACAAAAAGTGGTGAGTTGGTAGAGAAGGCATATAGCAAAGACAAGACCTCAAGGGAACACAGAGAAGACAGATGTGATGAAGATAACGAACCAACAAAAACAAGAACCCATCACTATCAACAGTAGACATTTGAGTGAGGTCATTTCTTTCACTTATCCAGAAACTATCGTTTCTATCACAGCTAATAGCACGGATGAGGATGTTAAAGCCAGACAGGGTCGGAAATACAAGACTGACATTCATCACTCTGAAACCAGTTTAAAAATCTCCTCAACTCAATGCAAAGAAATAAATTCGGATATTGAACACCAATGTTAAGTCAACCAGTCCTTCAACACGATTCAGAAACTTGGAATATGCCTCACGAATACCATTTCCAACAGACAACTATGGACTTCCATCAACAGTTGTCTTCGCTAGCTCCATACTGAAGATCAAATGGCTGACCTCGAAGAATTAGGAACAAGAACCTGTTGTCCAACAAATATCTCGAAGAAAATGGAAACGATTGGTCACATTATGAGCCAACTGTCGGTTAACACCATATGCTAAACAATACCTAGACTGGAACTCGAGTTTGAAACGACGAGTTGGGCGTGTGTCCAATAATGACATGTAGGAGATCGACTGGGGAGGAGTAGATGAGAGACAATGGGCACTCCTGATACTAGCTAGAACGACTGTATAAAACCTGATTGAAAGGTGATGTGCTGCTGACAGCGTATATTCCACTTGGAATCCGTGGGAACAATAATAATAAAACAAGTAATCTATCAATTTTTTGCATGAATATATAATTATTTTCAATGGTTAACGTTTAATTTCATTTTGAAACAAATACAACTTTACAGTATACTTAAAGATATAATATGCAGGTCTAGGCATTTTAAACACAATATGGTTATTTTTTTCTCATATATATTCAAGGCCAGTTGCAGGTTACGCAAATATGTGTCCAGGACACATAAAGTCAGAAGCAGAAAATATTCGTCAATCTAGATCAACGATGGAGCATGAATTGGCTCATGCTTTGGTAAGTAAAAACCAGTAAAAAAAACAGTTCTGATGGAATTTGAATATTTCGATTTCATCTACTTTTGAATCAGATGTACTTTTAAAAACATTTTTGTTCACACTGGATTAGTCATCAGAAATTCTGAAATCGGATGGGCAAAATGTGACCAACAAATTAGTGTGCGTCGGTGGCACAGTGGTTAGGACTCTCGCGACCATGTACATGGCCCGAGGTTCGATCCCCTGCCAACACTCACCTGATATCTATGGTCGGCTTGCGAAATTTGGGCTACCGATATCAAATGCTAAAAATTCCATACTTGTACCAAAAATACGATGTGGAATCAAGCTGTAATAAAAAAAAATAAATAGTGTTATTTTCAAAGTATTATGAAATTGATATATAAATATATATGCGCTTGTTTCATCTGTCTCTTATCAATTTTATTTATATTTCTTATTCTTAAGGGCTTCTTGCGTGATGGCTTCAGATACATGCGTGACGCAAACAACAATCCAAGAACAAGTCGTGATCCTCATACAGATGAGCCAAATGAAATAGATGCCAATTTATATAGCATTCCAGGGTAAGTTTACACTTCATCATTGATAAGATTTTATTTTAACAAATCATACAGTGTTGTACAGTAATATTTATTGATGACCACGTTTTGAGCACAAACTATTGCCACTCATAATCATATCAAGTCACTCACACAACTTGCTTTATTTATACACAGGAGTGACACTGATTAGACATCCGAATAAAAATAAATATAAGATAAAGTACACTCAGAAATAATGATATGAGTGTTATTGATCAAATACAATCAAATGTGAAATAAGACGAGTGATTTTACAGTAAAATAAGTAACTTGTTAGAATGTTATGATGTGCATGAACTGAAATAGAATTTTAATATAGTCTATTATCCTCCTGTGATTTGACTGACTGGTGGTGATAATAATATCTTGCACATCTGTGGTATTTGTGTTGAGTCGTTTCTGTTGCATGTGTTATGTTGGGTGTAGATTCACTCGATGAACCCGGCGGGATTCAGTGACCAGTCTCTCACGCTCTACACATTCCTAGAATTTTGACTGTGTCCCACCGATCCTATTGTGTGGTTGTGTGTTAATGCATCCAGTGCAATTTCTGGGTATTTTTTCTAAATTACTCAGCTTCGCGGAATCAATCATTCTAACCCTAGCTAAATTCTTATATTCTGATAATCTCACTACTCTCGATCTACTAGTATGACTGACCTATGTAGTTGACTTGACTCGCAGTCATTGCAAGGTGTTTTGTAAATTATATTATTTTGTCTAGTTTGGTAAACCTATAGAGCTTGTCCTATCTAAATGAGTTTGTAGGTTCACCCTAATGCCACTCTAATTCCTGCTGTATTGATTATCCTACGTAGGGATTGAGACGTGCCCTCTCCATTTGGTAGAATTGTAGATGCCTTATGTTCTCTCTAATTTATGTTATCATTATTAGTTTCCACATTATTTTTATTTACCTTTTGACCCTTTTTGACATTCCTAATGAATTTCATAGGATAGATGGTTATTTAACACCAACACCTCGTCTATCTGTTTCATTTCATCGTTTAGATTTAATTTGAACTATTTAGTATTATTGCTCAATTTGTTAGACAACTAACTATGCCCTCCGTAACAGACAATTGATGAGATTATTTTTAATCAAATGTCCAATCATCAATTTCACTCATGTATATAAATGAAGTAAAAGGTTGTGTGAATGAGTGAATGACTTGAAATGATTATGAGCAGTAATAATTTGTGCTGGAAACGTGATCATCAGTTAATATTACTGTATAACTAACTGTATGATATATCGAAATAAAATCTTATTCATAATGGAATAGTTATTCTCTAACACAGTGCTCAAGATTTTTAGTTATATCAATAAGCTTACACTTTGCAATTAAGATAAAATCAAGCTGACTAATGTATTCCTTTTTAAAGAAGCCGATATGTAAATGTGAAACATTTGAACTGAAGTGAATCTTTAAAAACCTGAGGAATCCAAAGCAATGCTCTGATTTGGTGAATATTTTCTGCCCGACACACTTGTGTAATTACATCAAAGAAACATTTGTGAATAAACCTAATGTTTTAAAGTTAAGAAATATAGTTAGAAGTCCATCCTTATTTGACTGACTAAAAATGGCCATTAAAATTTTCAGTAGGATGGATACTGAACAAAGAGTACTGCTTTTGACATTTTCACCATCACGCTCTACAGTTATATATACATTATAGTAAATGAATGAATCAGTGTTATGAACAACATCGAATTAATAATAATAATAATAATACGAGTGGGTTACAGCTCAATAGGATCGACATAAAATAAGCTGAATGTCACAAAAATTAGGAAAGATAATATTACAAATTCATGAATTTATAGTCTCTACTGATGGCCAGGGCAGGGCAGTAGTAGTGGCTGGACTTGCTTCTTCTCCACACAGAGCACTGGTTGTTTGAGGCGAATTGCAATAGCTTCTGCTGTTTGTAGCATGCGGTGCTTCGACGATTTTGGCAATTTATTAGGCACCCGGTAGATGATAGAGAAGGATTCTTCAATGCTGGCTGGCTTTGTGGCCGGCTGGTTTGCACCAGATGGTCCAATATCGAACTGTTGATGGTTTTAACTACACCTTTACTCAGCCATAATGGGAGATATTCTTGGGCGAGCACGAAAAATCAAGTTCCTAGAGCAGGAGTTAATGTAACTCCCCCACCACAAGTGCAGTTGAATCAGTGGATACAATTTGAAGTGGCTAGTCTAGGTACTTCATCTTTCAGTCGAGGAATCACAGTCGGTCAAGTAGAGAATAATACGTGTAGTTCGCCAGCATTAAAAGTTCTTTGAAATGATTTTCTTAATTTCCTTGTAATTATCTCACTTTGTATATTGCCCTCGAATTGTTGTCGTATATAAAGTGGCTTATTGTTTACAGATACTGAGTAGTCCTTTTCCGCTTTCTTTTTCATGTGTTTCTTGATAGATTTGTCGAGATAGCCATTTTCGATCAAAGTATCATATACAATACTTAGTTCATCTTCAATTACTTCTTCTGAGCATATAGCTCTAACTCTGTGGTTGAGGGCCTTCACTAAATATCTTTTAATGATCCTATTTATTAATTAATGTAAGTGTAGAACTTGGTCACTGTGGCGGTAGAATGTAATTCCATATTAGAAAAGTTTATTTTTAAATATCATACAGTGATGATGCAGTATTAACAATCGGATGATATTATTAGCATAAATTCCTGCTCATAATCATATCAATCTTAGTCACGCAGTTTCACAATCTATCTTATGCATATTTTCTCTCTTTCTGCCCATCCGAATTCCATTTGTCATTTATTGCCACTTTCCATATCTCCGATATAGGCGTTGCGTCATTCCAATTCCACGTGTGTGGTGTTCAGTCAATAAACTTCTCTCTCCGCCTAACTGTGTTACTATTTAATACTCTCACCTAGCCCCACTGTATTTTGTGATTATATGCAAGTGATTATAGTGCAGTGGCTGCGCTTTTTCTAGGTTATTTAACTTAGTAGGGTCAATTATTCTAGTTCTAGCTAAATTGGTATGTCCTTATAATCTAGCTGACACCGATCTACTAGTTTGCCTGTCCTATGTAAGTGACCTCACTCACAGTCATTACATGGTATTCAGTGAATTATATTGTTTTCCTAGATTGGATCTATTGGGTCCTGAAGCCAGCAAAGTTTGTCTCTGAGAGAGTTGGTTGGTTGATTTAAATGACACCCTTATCCCAGCTGCATTGAGAATTCTACGTAAGGCCTCTGACTTTCTTTCCTTATACTGTGGTACTACAGATATTTTGAATCCTACTTTATTTTCGTCATTTTTATTGTTAATCTTAGTTTTTTTGTGGTTCTTCGTACATTTTTGAATAAATTCTGGTAGGTAGTTATTCACTAGTAACTCTTCCTTTATTTGTTCGATTTCAATAATTAAATGTTCAGGCTTACTAGGTAGGCTCTTTGCAAAATTATATAGACATTTAACTAAACCTATCCTTACCTCTTCTGGATGGGATGTCTGTCTGTCTGTTTTCGACATAGAACTTTGCACAAATGTGCGGAAGTTCAAGTCGCCACATTCCGTGTAGCACGCGAAGCAAGAGAAGAAAGTACAAGAAAAGCATAATAGAAACAGTGAGCAGAGGTGTGAGACAAAGGAGTAATAAAGAAATACAAAACAGTTTCATTGGAGATCATAAGTCACAGGGAGTGGATGCATCTGCGCCACTGAGAACGATTTCGAGCCATGTCACCGATTGTTTCCAACCATAGATTTTTACCGTCCCGAGGACCCCAGCCTGGAAGTCTACACCTTTCTACGTGGCTTAGACCAACTGTTGTGGATTTCATTGACTGGTGCCAAGTTTTTGTTTGACCGCCGCTAGCTTTTTTCCAGCCTGACCCTATATCCGCTAACATTGCTCGTCGAGGGATGGGATGCATTAAAGTCTAAGTATTGGTTTGTAGGGATTTTGATTGATTGCTTACAGGATTTCATCATGAGCTGACATTGGTTAAGAGAACCATTGGAAAACCTGGGAGTACTGAACAGCTGTCTCGTCCTAGTTTGGGACTCTTGAGCAGTACACACTTACTGCCAGAGTTCGAACCCAGGACCTTCTGATTACAAGGCGAGCTCATAGACCATTAAGCCACTGAGACCCGATCCAATGACCAGCGCATGAATTCTAACTTCTGCCATTTCAAGACATAGCGCAACCGCTAGCTAATGTCTTCCGCAAGTATTTGTTCTCTCACCTGACGTGCTGCACCCTAGGTCCTGGTTTCGAACTCTGGCAATAAGTGTGTACTGATAAAGAGTCCCAAACTAGGACGAAACAGACGTCCAGTACTCCCAGGTTTTCCAACGGTTCTCTAACCAATGTCAGCTCATGACGAAATCCTGTAAGAAAAATCTAAGTATTTATTAATGTGTCGGTTTCCTACAAATGCTAGTATCTAACCCGCCATCTTCTTTTCGTTTTATTCTACATTCTTACATGGCCACCTCACCCTGTTCATTTTCTAACTCAGAAGTGAATTAGATTCCATCTACTACTGAGCTAATATTTGTGAAAAATCGAAGTATATGTTCAGATTTCAACACGGTGAATGTGTCATCCACATATTTCCACCATAACCTTGAAGGCGATTAAACGTTCTAAGAGCTTTATGTTCCCAGCCACCGATAAATATGTCTGCTACAACTGGGTATACTGTTAATCCCATCACCACTTCATTCGTTTGTTTATACTGTTATTATTTTTCCCTTGGGTTCCTAGTGGAACATAGGGCTTCAACTGCATGTCACCACTTGCACCTGTCTTCTGCTGCACTTTTCACCCGCATCCATGTTAGTCCATACTGTTTCAACTCCTCTGCACACGATCTCCTCCATGTCACACTTGCACTGACGTCCCACTCGACGCTTCCCATTCGGCCTGCTTCTACTCGAACAATGGCCTGACACGCGCTCCATGTCACCCAGCGGCGGCCTTCTCAGCGAGTATCCAATACATCTCCACTTTCTCCGGCATATTTGTTAGTTGGCGATTGGTTCTTGTTTTCTTTCTTCCCATAGTTCCTTGTTGGTGATTCTTTCCGGCCCGGCCATCCGATCTTCAGTATAGAGCCAGCGAAGACAGTTGTTGATGAAGGTAGCGTCTGCAAAAGGCTGTTGGAAGTATTCTTTGTTACCCGCCCGCCAAGTTTCTGATCCGTATGGAAGAACTGACTGACTTGACGTTTGTATTGAAAATCCTACCGAATTTTGTTGTTGATGCTGGCTAAGTGACGAAGATTTCCAGATAGATTTCAGTTTGATGAATGTGTTTCTCGCCTTCCCGATTCCCGGTCGATTTGACATCCTCGTCCGTTCCGAGTGCCTGTAGTTGAGACAACACTCCCTAGATAAGTGAATGAAGTAATCTCTTTCAAATCTCTCCCACTGATGGTGATTGGCGCTGGATGTTGGTGTTGTTGTTGGCTGGTTACTTTCATAACCTCCGTCTTGTCAATGTTCACTTGGAGTCCTGTCTTCTCTGGCTGCTTCTTCGACCAGTTCGTCGGTCGGTTTTCGCTTGTAAGTCTTCGATTTTGTGTGACATCAAACATAAATCATCCACGCGCGAAATCCAGATCTTCTAGGTTCTTCACGTCGGTCCAGGATATCCCTGTCTTCTCGTTTCCCACAGTCTGACGCATAATCCAGTCAGTCCACCACAATTAGGAACATCATCGGTGATAATAAGCACCCTTGTCTGACTCCTGTGTTTACTCCAAACGTCTCGCTGAGTTTTCCGTTGTGGATGACTTGACATATTCCGTTGTTGTACAGCTGTTGAATAAGGTTGATGAATATTTGGGGTACGCCGTAGTACTCGAGTAGTTTGTTTATATAGTTTATTTTAAATTTTAAACACAGTGGAGGCTGCAATCAATTGAACAGTTACGGTTATTTCATCAACCGAGAGCTTAATCCTACTTATGAGTTCAGGATCAATGTTCAGTTCATTCCTGACTTCCTCTAGAACTGTATTAATGGAAATATCAGTATATAAACTGATAATGTCAAAACTAGTCATTTTTAAAATCTTTTTCTAATTGAATTTCCTCTAGTTTCTGTCTTATTACATAGGAGTTAGCTTGCCAGGAATTTGACCTGTCTCTAATGGGTACGTTGGCGTATTCCTAAAGTTAACTATTAGTCTTCTAGGGTATCCTGCTTTGAGAATTTTGATAGTCCTTTACATTCTACTAGGATTGTTTGTTTTTAACGTAAGATTAAACAACTTCGACTTACCCAAATGGGTTCGAACCCCAGTGGTTGCGCATTGATGAAGAGTCCCAAACTAGGATGAAACAACTGTCCAGTACTCCCAGGTTTTCCAGTGGTTCTCTAACTGAAGTCAGCTCAGGATGAAATCCTCCATGCAATCACCCAAATATGATCTCATACGGTGTACTAATACACTAGCAGATTTTTTGATTTTATTCATAATAGTGTCCACAGGTTTTTTAACTTCCGCATATGGTCCCGTCTCAATATGTTGAGTGACCTTGTTAATGTATTCTGATTTGACCATGACTACTACTGTTGTATTGCCCTTGTCCGATTTTGCGATCTTTACTTTTTTTGTCGTTGCTCAAGCTTTTTAGAGCTGCGATTTCTTTTTGTGATAGATTTCTTATTTCTTTCTTCTGGCGTTTTAGTGTCAATGTACACTGTGCTCTGACTTGTTCCGAAGTGTAACTAAAATTGATTTGATTATCAGTGGCAATAATTTACGCTAAAAACTTCATTCAGTGGTTAATACTGCATCATTGTGTGATATTTAAAATAAAACTTATCTAATATGGAATCCCGTTTATAAGTCTTTTTTATTCAAACAGTCTATATGATGCTCAATCTAATTTAGCGACTTCTTTTCACAAATTTAGACCGAATGTTCTAGGCACTGTGACTCGTCAGTGGAGATCATACAGAAATATTACCAGTCGTGAAGTGACTGTGCTTAAAACACCAATAATGGTGGTAAGTTCATGTTAGTTTATGTATTTCGTTCAGTTTGCTTGTATGTAAATGAGTTTTGTGTGGCTAAGAAAGTGTATTTGTAATAAGAATTATTCGAAAGTTGACAATGTGAAGTTGCAAAGTTGGTTCATAAGTTTTACCACTTTGGATTACAATACGTCATGCAGTAACACTCATTGCTTTATTATTAGTATTATATTATTGTATCCTTTAGTTCCTAGAGGAACATAGGGCTTCAGCTGCGCACCTCCATTGCCTTCTGTTTTCTGACAACTTTTTCACCCCGCTCCAGGTCTGTCCACATGCTTTCATCTCCTCTTCGCATGACCTCCTCCAAGTCACCCTTGCACTGACGACCAACTCACCGCTTCCCTTTCGGGTTCCACTCGAGCGATGGCTTGTCTACTGATGTCACTTGATGGTTTCCTCAGAGTATGGCCAATCCATCTGCATTTCTTCCTGACTATTTGTTTCACAATCGGTTCCTGCTGTGTTGGTTCGCTCCCAGAGATCCCTGTTGCTGATATTTTGTGGCCATCTGATCTTGAGTATTGGACGAAGGCAGCTGTTAATGAAGGTCTGAAGTTTGTTTGAGATGCTCTTTATGACTCGCCAAGTCTCTGATCCGTATAGTAGCACTGACTTCACATTGGAGTTGAAAATCCGGATCTTATTTTTGATGCTGAGTGCTGTTGACCTCCACACAGATTTGAGAGTAGTGAAAGCTTGTCTTGCTTTTCCGATTCTGTCTTTGATATCCTCGTCAGTTCCGCCTGTAGTTGAAACGATGCTTCCTAGGTAGGTGAAGGAGGTTGTTTATTTCAGGTTCCTCTTATTTATGCTGATTGTTGTCTGTTGTTGCTGTTGATGTTGGCTAGGAATCTTCATCACCTCTGTTTTATCTATGTTCACTTGAAGTCCTATCTTTGATGCTTCTTCCGTCAACTTGTTACTTTTCACTTGCATGTCTTCCAGTTTGTGGGAAATCAGACATATATCATCGGCGAAGTCCATATCCTCCAAGTCTTTTGTGTCAGTCCATTTTATGCCCGTTCCCTCGTTGGTTGCCGTTGTCTGTCGCATTATCCAATCTACTTCAATCAGGAAGATCATTGGTGATAGTAGACAGCCTTGCCTCACTCCCGTCCTCACTTCAAAGGCTTCCGTAAGTCTCCCGTTGTGGATTACTTGGCATGCAGCATTGTCGTATAACTGTTGGATGAGATGTATAATTGTCGATGGGACCCCGTAGTAGCGAAGTAGTTTCCAAATGACCTCTCGATCGACGCTGTCGAAGGCCCTTTCAAAGTGGATGAAGTTGAAATAGAGAGGTGACTGCCATTCCAAGCTTTGTTCAATGATGATCCGTAGAGTGACGATTTGATCAATACATGATTTGTTTCTCCTGAATCCGGCCTGTTCCGGTCGAAGTTTTTCATCTAGAGCTTGTTTGATTCTCTCCAGGATGATGCGACTTAGTATCTTGCTTGGAAATATAGAAAAAAAACCGTCATCTGTGATGCACCGCTCATCGCTTTAGTGACTGTTGATATCATGAACACAGATTAGTGGCTTTAACTGAGGTGACTGACTTTCACTCAAAGTGGACTAATAAATATTAGAAACAGTATCCAAAGTCATTTGAACTAAAATGTCTTTAGTTCAAGAACTGATTGTGCAAACTCACACTTTAAGGAATCTAACGAAATATGCTTCATTCAATAAAATATAGCGATGGTGATTTAATACTTAGTAAATAGTTATAATGTGCAATTAAGTAATTAGAATTCCAAAGAAACTCGATAACAGCTTGAAAACTGCTACCAACTTTTCAAATTCTAATGAGGAATCTGAAATTCACTCTAGTGGCTTAATGACAAAGATTTATTTGCAAAAGCATTAGGTCCTGTGTTCGATATTTTCTCTGGTTATAAGTCCTAATCGTTGAAGGGACTGGAAAAACTCATTCCTTCTCAATTTTTAAATATCCCGACGTAGAGATGAAAGTTACCATAAGTACCGCTGGTTTCTGACCATATTCTGTTTTATCTTATATGTGTAACATGTGAATCCTTGAAGACGTGCGAAATCTCATCCAGTGAAACACATTTTCACATATTCTAAACGATTTGTGAGAACTGTCTAAGCTGATTGGTTCCAACAGCAAGGGCTTCAGCTGTACAACCCCATTGTGTTCAGTTCTCTGCCACCCTTTTCACTTGGCTACACGTCTGCCAGCATGTTTTCATCTCCTCTTAATATATGACCTACTCCATGTCACGCTTGAAATGACGACCAACTTGCCACTCCCCGTTCGGGTTCCACTCGATTGATGGCCTGGCGTGTGATTGTTTGTGTTCTCAGAGTATGGCCAATCCACCTCCATTCCTTCCTGCTTGCTCGGTTCCTGCTGTGTTGGTTCGCTTATTCCCAGAGATCCCTGTTGCTGATATTTTCTGCCCGGCTATCTGTTCCTGAGTATTGAACGAAGACAGATGTTGATGAAGGTTTGTAGTTTGTTTGAGGCGCTCTTCGTGACGCGGAAAGTCTCTGATCCATAAAGTAGCACTAACTTCACATTGGAGTTGAAAATCCGGATGTTATTTTTGATGCTGAGTGCTGTTGACCTCCACACAGACTTGAGAGTAATGAAAGCTTGCCTTGCTTTCCCGATCCTCTCTTTGATATCCCCGTCAGTTCCATCCGCCTGTAGTTGAAACGATTCTTCCCGGGTAGGTATATAAAAAGGAGGTTGCTTCTATCAGACTCCTCCCATTTATTCTGTTTGTTGTCTGTTGTTGTTGCTGTTGGTGTTGGTGTGGGCCAGGGATCTTCATCACCTCTGATTTTTTCTGTGATCACCTGAAGGCCTTCTTTCTCTGGATACTTCTTCTGCCAACTTGTCGCTTTTCACTTGCTTATCTTTCAGTTTGTGGGAAATCAGACAAATGTTACCGGTGGAGTCCAGAAAGTACAAGTCCTATTTTGTATGGGTCCATTTTATGCCTGTCTCCTCGTTTACCGCCACTATCTGTCTGTCGCACTATCCAGTCTACCACCCACAATCTGGAAAATCATTGGAGGTAGTAGACAGCAAGTCAACCTTGTCTTACTCCCGTTTTCACTTCGAAGGATTCCGTGAGTCTTTCATTGTGGATTAATTGGCATGTAGCATTGTCGTACGACTGTTGGATGAGATGTATAATTGTTGGTGTCACCCCGTAGTAGTGAAGTAGTTTCCAAATCACCTCTCGATCGGGGTTATCTGCTGAGGGCCTTTTCAAAGTCAATGAAGTTGAGATAGAGAGGTGAATGACATTCCAACCTCTGTTCAATAATGGTCCGTAGTATTGAGATTTGATCGATGCATGACTTCTTCTTCCTGAATTCAACCTGTTCTGGTCAAAGTTTTTCATCCAGGGTTGCGTGTTTGATTCTCTCCAGAATGAAGCGGCTTAGTAAATTGTTTGAGATGGACAGGAGCATAATGTCGCGCCAGGATAATTAATGGCAGTTCTTATTTTGTATTTGTAGTGACAGTGACGTCATATACATGTAAACAAAAAATTGTAAATAATAAAAAGGTCGGTAGCTAAGAATGTCAGTTAAATGAGACAGCGTCACCACATATTACAGATAGGAGATATTAAAAGCGCCAATTATTTAGCTAACAACATGGTTATTCATAGGTTTCGCCCTGAATACTGTCTCTATCGCTTAGAACACGAGCTAAATATGGTATCGTTGAGTACCTATACTTAATGGTACGAGCATAAAATCTTTCGTACTGACTCCTGGTTCTACAAAATGAAATATAAAGGGAAAGTTGAGAATAGAGGGGGTGTTGAGGGTTAGACAGTATAGATTTAGACCATTTCTTGCATGAGTTCAGATGCCTATCAACTAATGTAGTGACAAGCTGACTAAGTTGCATAATAATAATAATAAAATCATAGTAGGTCTTGGAATCCTCGGTAGCAGTGCTACCAGAGGAACACTTTAAAGTTCGTCTAAACAATCCCTTCGATAATCACTGTCAACTTTCATGTTACATTTCGTGTTATATGGTGATACCATACTGATAAGATATTTGGAAGTCCGCATTTTCTGATCATTCAACTTCAAATTGTGTTCATTATTTCTCAATTTATTTTCATACTAAAATATCTTATTCAAACTATCATTCAGTCGATTTCCTCAAATCTCACACTCTCAACTGTCGTATCAGGCGATACTTATCAAAGTTATTCTTACGTAAACTCTGAATTTGATTACTTCATATTGCTTCAATAGTTAATTGAAGTGACTTTCATTATAAATGGTGCAAAATAGAAAACTTAATATCTCAGAATGCCAGTCAATTTTATAATCTTAGTCAACCAGCTGGAAATTTACCATAAAGCCATTTTAACATTTGTAATTTGCATATGGAATTTTTTAAATCCTGAGAATTTAGCGTCTTGTATCTATATTCGCAACAGTTGTTTCCCTTCGGCAAGATATTAGTTTCTAGCAACAGATGAGAGTACCTAAATTAGTTCGTTTCGATATATACAATTATTATTATTATTATTGTTCCGTTGGGTCCCAAGTAGAATATAGGCCGTCAACAGCACATCATTCAATCATGTTTTACACAGTCCTTTTACGTAGTTTCGTGATTTCTCATTGTTTCTCATCCACTCCTCCCCAATCCATCTCCTACATGTCACTCTCGGACACTCGCCCAACTCATCGTTTCAAACTCGAGTTCCAGTCTAGGTAATGTTAAGCACATGGTGAAACCCAACTGTCTTCTGAGCATGTGGTCAATCCATCTTCATTTTGTTCCCGATATTTGTTGGACAAAAGGCTCTTGTTTGATTTGTTGGTAGAGTTTCTCGTTCCTAATTCTTTGTGGCTAGCCATTTGATCTTCAGTATGGAGCTGGAGCGGACAGCTGTTGACGGAAGTCCATAGTTGTCTGTTGGAAATGGTATTCGTGAGGCATATTCCAAGTTTCTGAGTCGTGTAGAAGGACTGACCGACTGATTTAACATTGGTGCTAAATATCGGAATTTTGTTTTATTGTGCTAAGTTGAGGAGATTTTTAAACTGGTTTCAGAGTGATGAATGTCAGTCTTGTATTTCCGACCTTGTCTGGCTTTAACATCCTCATCCGTGCTGTCCTCTGAAGTTGACGTGATGCTACCTCACTCAAATTTCTACTCTTGATAGTGACTACTGCTAGTTGTTTGTTGTTAACTGATTATCTTTATCACCTTCGTCTACTCTATCAAGTTAGCTTGTTTCAACCTATGTAATAAATATTTCACGTTTTTCTATACATGTCTAATAAATATTCACTATGTAACATGTTTAAATTTAGCAAAAAGCAAGGGAATACTTCAGTTGTCCAGAACTAGATGGTGTAGAACTTGAAAGTGAAGAAAGTGAGGGCAATAGACAACACATCGAGCGGAGAATACTTGAAGTGAGTCTATGCAGAAATTCTGTATTACTTTAAAGTTGTACCATATTGTACCATATATCATGCTAATTTTTTGTTTTTATAAATTCTGTGTACTCAAAGAATGAATAGTATAAATAACATTTTAAATTGTACAGATTTCATTGTTTCAGTTGCATTGAATATTTGTGTAAGAATTCATTCATGCTTTCATTTATTCATCCAGAAACAGGTGAATTCGATAAGTCTTTTTAGAACCAATAAACAAATTAAAGTTAATTGCTTGGAAGATTTCATCATGAGCTGATATCAGCTAGAGAACCACTGGGAAACCTGGAAGTAATGCACAGCTGTTTCGTCCTAGTTTTGGACTCTTCCTCAGTACGCACCCACCAGGGTTTGAACCCAGGACCTTCTGGTTACAAGGCGAGCTCCTGTGTACTGATGAAGAGTCCCAAACTAGGACGAAACAGCTGCTCAGTACTCCCAGGTTCTCCAGTGGTTCTCTAATTGATGCCAGCTCATGATGAAATTCGCCATGCAATCAAACAAAAATCCCTACAAAACTAATACCTGAAAATTAAGTTTACTTTTACTTACAGTGAATAACATTCATTATTTCTATAATCCACCACAGATGAATAAATAAATAATTCCTCATCGCTTTTTAACCATCCGCCTCAGATAACGCAACCACACCAATATATATGTGCGTAAATATCTATTTTATTTATTTATTCTTTTCCTTTACGTTCCTAGTGCAACCTAGGGCTTCAAGACTGAGCTTTCAAGTTTCACTGGTAGTGGTAGTCCTTTTCAACCGGTGGTGTTGTTAGCCTCACACCAAGCCTTCCCTCTTTGCCAGCCTTATTACCGACTAAGCGAGGTTTAGCAGTGAGTTGGCTGACAGTTGAGGCCTTGACCATATCCTGGTAGACCAGAAAGGTATTCTTAGTCTTAACAAGACTCGAACAAGTGGTTTCAGAGTTACTAGTCCGTCATTCTACCAGCTGAACTACAAGACAAAGTTGCTATGAGGTCAGTTATTTGCTGCCTTTGCTGAGTGATGGACACTTCACTCTCCGTTTAAAATCACCACACCTAGTTATATTCTTAGAAACGATCCATGGGAATTAAAGTGAATTCGTGATGTGATTAAAGGTTGACTGTCGTAGGTTATTGTATAGAATGTCAGTATAGTTATACAAAGGCCATTGATTCCAATCCCTCAGACACCCAGAACAACCCTCAGTACAAAATAAACAGTCTGGAGATTCAGTACTGCTCTGCACTGTCTTCGACACTATATATTTCCAATAGTAGTATAATTTTATTCATCTTTATTCTTGACAGATACTATCTGAGAATCAGTTGATTCCCTACTACTGTTTCAAAAAGATAACAGAGATTCTATAGGATTTGTGCCCTACGAATGCTTTTGATCCTTTAAAACACACGTCGTATCTTTGTGAACAGAGAAGGCTCTGTAAATGTATGCACACATACATATGTAAACATATTATTTTGTCCTCTCTGGGCATCCATGAACAAGACGTGATTTCGAAAGACTGAAAACCAAACTTTATTCCATATTTTTTTTACCTTATTGTGATGGCCTCATATTGCTAGTTCTCTGTAGAAAAGAATTCGTTTGAAACACCCCTTTATTATATATATACATATATTTTTTTTTAATTCCCACTCAGAATGAATTAATGACCGCTCTTTACACTCAACGTTCACACGTTTCGACAATTCTACTTGGATATTTTGAAGACACCGGGTTAGTTCATATTTTTTTCCGGTTCTATTATAAAGTGTTTCAGAAATTCAATATTAATTTATCTATTGGGTATGTCTTTGTTCTTCATTATCATAGCAGTTGAAACTACATAGCTTCACAACTTGCTTTTCTCAGACTATAAAAATAGATTTTCAAAACTGTGTAGTTACAACTGATATGGGTACAAAAAAAAACATGATGTTTGAAACACCATCCAATAAATGATACTGTTTACCACAATAATAGCTTTATTATGCTGAATAAATTTACCTAGTACACACAACTTTCAGAGTAGTTTATCTCTTCATCCAGGAGTTTCAAGTAAAACAGCCATCTACAGTGCATCACGTGACGCAGTGAAGTTAGATCTGAAGAATAAAATAATCTTTCATGGTATTTTTCTTTGGCCCTCCAGAAGTAAGCAAGAGTAGGTTGGAAACCAATCAAAAATGTGCACGAGTATATTTGGTGATCCAACAAAGTAACTGAACGATTATAACAACACTAACTAAAGAAATTAAGATGTATTGTCTCTCATGGAAATTCTGGTAGCTCAGGGAATCAAGCAGGCCACTGTGTCATGTGACTTCCCAATCGGACAAATGTGTGGAATGAAAGGGGACATTTCCGGGAAAACGGGGAAAGAAAGGACAATTTTCTTTTCAAAGGGGGAAAAAGTCGATTAAAGGGAACAATGAGGTGGGAAATGCCTTAGTGGGGGGAAATAATCCGAATAAAGGGGCCAATGATGGGTAAATCACGAAAAATGTTACTGTACGCGGGTGGTTACTGATAAATTGTAAGTAGCTTAATTTAATCCCGGTGGGTGCGTACTGCTGAAGAGTCCAAACTAGGACGAAACAGCTGTCCAGTACTCCCAGGTTTTTTCAATGGTTCTCTAACCAATGTCAGCTCATGATGAAATTCTGAAACCGATCAAATCCCTACAAACCATCACTTGAATACTTAATTTTTCTGTTGAAATTACGTTACCAGTACTTCAGTTGATGCGTTGTTCTTACACCAGCAGTTTCCAGTTGAATCTTTCTCTTAAAATCTTGCAAGCAGAACACAGAAGGAAGTACTAACACTTGAAATTAGGGTTGGTAGTAAAAGTAACCCTACAACTTAAGTGACCTTCGTCATATACTAATCAAAACAGACCCACAGTCATTCATACACATACATTAAGAATAGTGGCCAACAGCATTAGATTGTAGTGACACTGAGAAATAGACCTGTGACTTCTTATGGTCACTTTGACTGTGATAATATATTGGGTCAATATACTTGCTAATAATGTCATAAATGCCATTAAAAATTAATCAAATCTCTGAAACAATTGTCTGAGATTTAATAAACCAGACTGTGTGACACATCGTTTAACAAATTAGGTATTTTACGTGGGATCATGCTTACTGAACAATCAGTGGAGTTTATGAAAACATAAGTGGTCAGTGTTAATTGCAGTGTAACTAAATTTGTTGTTTAGTTGAATTCCAGTCACCTATTGTGCGCGCACTTTTAAACTGTACATATTGCAGGTCGGTGGTCGCTGTGGTTAATGTAACCAACGTTGGCACTGCTATAACAGTACACTTTACAGAATGTACAAACGTATCTATGAGCGGTTACTGGCCAAGGTCTCTGTAACGTCAACATTACCGGGGGTTGTCACACCTATTGTCCTTCCTGTAAACATCGAGCCTTCTTCAGTGAACACAGACACCATGACCATGGAAACCAAGGTAGTGCCATTGAGACCTTGCAGCAGCCTAACACCACCTGCCAGTAATTCACAAATGTGCCCACAAGTGTCTTTTGAGCGTGATGAAATGACAAGTATGCTAATAAAAATCATGGTTTCCACGATCATGTCATAAGCGAACGGTAAAAAACTCTTGAAGACCTTCCGTGAGTGATAGCCTCAAATAAAAATGGAATTACATACTACCACAGAGTAGTCCACGTTTTGCACCTTTATTAGGGTTATAATAAGTCTTAATCATAAATCATGTCAGTTTTTTATAATACTGTCTTGTTCCAAGATAGCTTTAAATGCCAGTTTGCCTGGAAGAATAGGAGGTCCAATAAATTTCCAGTATTTGATTGTGTTCAGTTTCTCTATACGGGAATGAAAAGTTGCTGTATGTTAAATTACAGTACTTTATGTCCTTAAACGCACATACTTGTAATTAACATTTCTTTGAGCTACTCTTCATTATAAAAAATTTGTTGTAAATAGTCTTCAGAAATACCAGGTGGAAATATTTTCTGCGCAGAGTTAATCATCCAATATATGCTCTTAATGACAGCAAATGTCTCTTAACCTTACGGCTATAGGGATTCCTGCCCAGTATACTTTCTCCTAATTACAAAACGTTGTCTTATAAGAAGTGCAACAGTTTCCAAAATCACCTTTTAATCTAAGCAGTAACTTCGAAAGAGTACCTGTTGTAATTCTAGAACTTATACGATTAAAATTCCCAATAAATAGAGAGTATGCATGAATTTCTAACCTTCGAAACTGCATATATATGAGACAGTCGAGGGTAGAAACGCTAAGTTAGTGACTTTTATATAACACTGTGAAAAACTGTCATGAAATCACATCCCTACAAATCAACTCTTGAAAATTAATCTGATAGTCTCTGATGACTGGTTACAAGGCAGAATTTCCTGGAGTTCTAGTGAGAAGTTGTAGGCAGTAAGGTACATTCTGTTGGGAGTGACGATAAATGCTCACTGATGACATTGTTTGGTACCAGTCGCCCTAAAATCACGAATAGGTAGAAGTTATAAGTGATGGGCTGTTGATTCCGTACCTAGTGGCTGAATGGTCCACGAACTTGCCTTGTAACTGGAAGGTCCAGGGTTTGAAACCCTGTGGGTCCCTACTGCCGATTAGTCCCAAACTAGAACGAGGCATCTGTCCAGTACTTCAGGGTTTTCAATGGTTTTTCTAACTGATATCAATCTGTGGTCAAACTTGAGAAACAAATCAAATCTCTACAAATCAACTTTTGAAAATGGTGAGTAGTCATTTTTTGTTCTATTCCTTTATCGTTGCCTATTTAAACACTGTAATTTTTTTTAGTTTTGAAATGTTTATTATTATTGATTGAATTTGTTCACCACATTTTCTATACACTGTCTCAATGCCATTGCTTGTTTTGCCATAACTCAGGTGGTATACTCCAGATTATAAAAAAGCCGGGAAGATTACCTATGGTAAACACCTTGGATGTGATTTTATCATGAGGAGTTGTTACGATTATATGCAGCGACAGAAAGCAAAGTGAGAAATTTTTTTTTTCTTTAATGGTTATCTATAAGTTTACCCGGACAACAGGTAAAGGGTTTACTCCTTGTCTTTTACCAGTTAGACATGTTCAGTCACAGCAATTATTTGAGATTAGATTTTGTATAATAACAAATATCTAAAACCGCCGCATTTTGATTTTGTATGCTCCTGGTGAGCACACCATCAAGTTCATGGTAGAACGTTTAATATTTTTGAATTTTACGACTTTTATCATGAGCTGACATCAGCTAGAAAAACAACTGGAAGAAAAAGGAGTTTTAGACAAATATCTCGTCCTAGTTTGTTACTCGTCAACAGCAATCAAAGAGTGAGCTGCTAACCCAGGACTTCCCGGTTACAAAGCGAACTTGTAGACCTGCGGAAGCATACAGTACAAATTAAAAGTTTCCTAATAATAAAACTCTCCCTCTAAAGGGAATAATTTGTCTTCTCTGGTCAATTGATTCCAGCCATTTTTTTCAAGAATCCATAGGGCTTTTTGATGTTGAATATTTCACTAGAACATTAGTCTTTTAGAAGATGTCCATCGAAAATACATCTTACGTGGATATCTTCCAAGATTTATCGAGAAAAACATGAAGTAAAGGGAAAAGCCTGGAAGTGCCGAAGTGTTGAATTTAAAGGTGATACTGCAGCTGAGATCCTGGAGAATCGCTTATGCAGATCACATTGAGGAAAGCCTTCTTTATGGCTGAGCTACGTATCAATTTCTACAACCGACAAATGATCAACGGATGTGTGAAGGATAAACTGTCACTTTGGGCCACCTCATTGTGTGTTTATAAATTCACCTGCTCGTGTGGAGCTAGTTATATTGGCCGAACAAAGCGCTCGCTTTCCAAACGCATCTCTGAACATTATCCAGCATGGTTAGCAAAGGGATAATGTAAGACAATTACTAGCTCAATTCTCGAGCATTTGGTGAACTCAGGCCACGTAGATCCACCAGAGTCGTCTTTCAACATCATCTACAAAGTGAAGCCAAATGGTACAAAGGGAGTCAGGTTTCAGCTTTTGTGTATGGCGGAGGCGCTGGCGATTCGTCAATACAACCCTGAACTCTGTATACAGAAAAAGTTTGTCCAGTCTCTTATTCTACCTTGGTCTTAACCTCTTTACTAATCGTTCCCTGTAAAAATAAGAATTTTGATTTTTTGTTTTTTTAATTTCAAATCTTACTTTCAGTTTGGTTTCATTTGAATAATTAATTCACTATTATCACTCTCATATGCTCCTTTTGTATGTTTCAAGCCCTCTTCACACATGTTAAATTGACACTCAAATACCTTTATTCTCACTCAGTAGCAATTTTAATCTTATCAAATTTCTATCTTTTTTCCGTTGAGTACCATGTAATTTACAACTTTTAATTCTTTTCACTTCTAAAGCCACTTATGACTAATTACACCAATTATGTCACCCCACCCCTATTACTCAATTATAAACCACTATACATTTTTCTAAGTATGAATACGACTGTACAGTCTCTGAGGATGATTTCGTCGATAAAGAGAATTTCCTTCACTGAATCTGTCTTTTATTTTCTTCATGACTCAATGGGTATTTTCGGTGATTTGAATAATTAATAACTTGTTTGGCCATTAGGTAGTTAACATTTTGATATGTATCCACATGATGTGTGTTTTGTTTTTGACAGTCTGTTATATTTTGCTATGTGTATATGGATCTATATTCCATTATAACTGACATTATGCTTTTGTCTGTCCACCAACTAAATAAACATGTATGACCTTGTTATCACATGACACTGCAACCAATCATGGTAAGACGTTGTCTTACTGGTTCATGTGTATTAGCCATTTTCATATATACTCTTGCTTTATTATTCTTGTTCATATTCTTGTTCACATACTTTTTCGTACATTCGTACCATTTCACTCACACATTAGTGTGACATTTATTTTCCTTGTCCGGAAAATACAAGTATCATTGTAAACCTGGTGGTCTTCTGATTTCCCTCTTTCCGTGTCAGGACTATTAACTACTCGACGAGTACATAACACATTTCTTAGTACTAACTGAATTCTGTCATTTTTGTGGTTGCAATGTCACCAAACCGGATGAACAACCATTACAGTACATTTTGAGTTGATCTTAGGTGACTGGAAATGGCTGACAAGAAGTGACATCTTTCTGTAAAACAGTACATATTATTTTCACAGTCAACAACTTGTCAGGATATGATTTCATTTTGTTGAGAAAAGTTCTCTGTCATTAATATTTTCAGACCAATTGGTTAGAATTAGCTAAATATTTCTTAAATTAAGCACAATTAATGCTCACTTTATTAGTTTCCTCTAACGAGTTTTGTAGACCAATTAAAAAAAAAACTCCTAGTCATTTTTGCTAAAACTGAAATTAGTAATGAAGATCTTCTGAGTAACGCTTTGAATAAATAATGCTTCAGTCATTCACTTCAGAATCACTTCATATTCAATATTAACACCAAGTACAATTAAGAGAAATTAACAACAGTTGAAAAGAAACAACTGTTCATGAAATTGCAATTTAACGGGGACGTGGCTAACGAAGTCTTACATCTTAGATTATCGAGAGCGATAAAACGGATTTATACTGCCGCCACCCTTTGTTTGTCATTTTCCAGCCGGCCAATTATGATCGCTCAAGTGAAAGACAAGCTACCCAGGTGTGCCACTTCTATTTGTATCTATATATTTAGTTGCTCCTGTGGAGAGAGGTATATAGGACGAACAACTAGACAGCTTAACAAACGCATTAATGAGCATCTTCCTTCATGGTTTGGAAAAGGTCAAATAAAATCCGTACGAAGTTCTATTTTGGCTCATTTGATTGATAGCGGTCAACAAGTGGACAAAAGTAGTGCCTTCAAAGTTATCTATCGACTTTCACCGAACCTTTCGAACGGAATTCGAATCCGTCTTTGACACATAGCCGAAGCTATGGGAATTCAAAAGATCAATCCTAGTCTTTGTAAACAAAAGAAGTTTGTTGTGCCTTTGTCTTTCCCTTGCTTGTCTAGATGAATTCTATTCAAAACCCTGCCACCCTTTCTTATCTTCCATCTCCTTCGTACTTTTATGATATTTATTTAAACTCTGATTATCGTTCCATTTCACCTTTTAAGATTTGACCTAAGTGGATAATTGAATTTTCTACATATACACATATATACATAAGCTATCTTTGTTATTCTTATCGTCACCTCCATAAACCTTATTATCAATATTTTGTTATCATTATAATCATCGTTATTAATTACGTTCAAAACATTTACCACATTATTATTATATGATCCATAAAATCACCATCATTGGTTAAAAATTTTTATGTATAAATCTATGTAAATTAGAGTAAAGCCTGAAGAAGATCTAATTGAAAACAGCAACATTGTTCGCTTATATGTCTTGTTCTATTAGTCCATATTTCTTTTAAGTTTTCTAAGATTTTGTGTCTGGTGAATAATTCGTTTTTCTTTCTTTTTTACTTGTTATTTATTTATTTTTTCATATTTTAGAGGACTAAGCTTCTATCCATATTGTGATTACCAAGATTTTTATAAAACTCTTTGCCTTAAAAAAGAAGCCGCCTACGGATACTGTGATTTGACTAGATTCACAGACGATTTGGATGTTGAATTCCAGTATTTCGAAGATCCGAAACTCGGTGGAAGAGGCAGACACAGAGATAGGTGTCCAATTTATTTGGTTAAGTGATTTTATACATTATCGATTATATACAATATATAAATATCTAATTCCATATTAGTTTGTTTATTAAATGTATCACACAGTGAAGAAACAGTATTATTTACTGGATGAAGTTTCGAACGAAATTTATTGTTCATAATCATAACAATTGTAATCACACGACTTTGGAACAAGGAAGGAACAAAAGTGGCATTCAGACCCACAAACTCAATTAGAAACAAGCTTTGTCGGTTAAGGGGTCAGTCCTGTGGAGCCTATAAAACAAAACAATTTAGTTTATCTAACACTCAGCCTGAGATGGTTGTCACGTCAAATACATAGGTCAAAGTAGTAGAACAGGGGCAGTCAGACTAGCTGAACATAAAAACCTAGCAAAATCTAGATTGGATGACCCAAATAAGATAAGAAATCTAGAGAATAGTTCAGCTACAGCACTAAATGCAGTTACACACAACCATACAATAGGATGAGATAGGATGACAGTTTTAAAATCTAATGTAACTGCAGGGTGGAGGGAGGGATTGATAACAGAAGCTTTGTTTATCGAATCAACTACAAATACATGTAATAGGAATGATTCATCACCTGTCCCAGACGGACATCTGGAAAATCCTACTACCCCTACAACAAATAGGAGAAGACAAACATATCTATAAAACTCAAGTTTCGAAGTCGTGTGATTACAATTGATATGATAATGAACAGTAATAAATTTGAACAAAATAATTTGAACAAAATTTATTACTGTTCATTATCATATCAATTGTAATCACACGACTTCGAAACTTGAGTTTTATAGATATGTTTGTCTTCTCCTATTTGTTGTAGGGGTAGTAGGATTTTCCAGATGTCCGTCTGGGACAGGTGATGAATCATTCCTATTACATGTATTTGTAGTTGATTCGATAAACAAAGCTTCTGTTATCAATCCCTCCCTCCACCCTGCAGTTACATTAGATTTTAAAACTGTCATCCTATCTCATCCTATTGTATGGTTGTGTGTAACTGCATTTAGTGCTGTAGCTGAACTATTCTCTAGATTTCTTATCTTATTTGGGTCATCCAATCTAGATTTTGCTAGGTTTTTATGTTCAGCTAGTCTGACTGCCCCTGTTCTACTACTTTGACCTATGTATTTGACGTGACAACCATCTCAGGCTGAGTGTTAGATAAACTAAATTGTTTTGTTTTATAGGCTCCACAGGACTGACCCCTTAACCGACAAAGCTTGTTTCTAATTGAGTTTGTGGGTCTGAATGCCACTTTTGTTCCTTCCTTGTTCCAAAGTCGTGTGATTACAATTGTTATGATTATGAACAATAAATTTCGTTCGAAACTTCATCCAGTAAATAATACTGTTTCTTCACTGTGTGATACATTTAATAAACAAACTAATATGGAATTACTTACTACCACAGTGCCCAAGTTTTACACATATATTAATATAAATATCTGTCTTTGTTATCATACTATTTTAAGTTTCAAACGCAAACCTCTGATCTAAAATACGTTCAATGAGTAATCCAACAATATTAAAAGGGATTTAAATCGAACCGCATACTGAATGTACTATTATTTTTAGGCTGCAATAGCTTATCATTATTCGTATAGTGAAAAGCAGTGAGAATATTTCTAGTAATCGTAACTACTCTCCGCAAAATGTCTACACCATGAACAAAATTATTAGCCTAATTTATAACATAATATTTATCTATGATGGAGAAGATTTGTAGCTGAGGTGTATGATTTTGATGTGGTTGTGTTCTATGAGCTAGCTGCATAGTGTATTTGCGAAGCTTTCATCGCCCTACTGGGCAACATCTACAGCGCATACTTCATTTTGTTGAAGTGAGCTTTCAGACTTCTCCACGAATTTATTAGTCATCTCTCCTACTGGGTGATCTTCTACGTGATTGGTTGTTTGTTTGTGTGTTTTCACACCCTGTAGGCTACTTGTATTGGAATTGATTGTTTCTTTGACTTGAACATTGACCCTTTGTCTGTGAGATTTCCTTCTTACCGTTCGGTAAATTTTGTCCATCTCGATGTGTCCCTTATATATGGTAGGGCGATTTTGTTTGTGCTTTCCTTGGAGGCTTTTGATTTGATAAGACATCGCAAAAATCACCACAAGACTCTTCAAACCTTTAGGAATTGACATCACACACAAACCAACAAAATCACTTCACTCAGCTCTATGACAACCGAAAGACTCAACAACAAATAAGATAAAACCAACATTACCTACAAAATAAATTGTAACAACTGCGAAAAACACTACATTGGCCAAAGTGGACGTCCACTTCGTCTTCGTATCCGTGAACATAAGATAGCCGTCAAAAGACATGATATCCACTCACTCCTATCACTACATACAGGCGACCACAGACATCAATTCGACTGGGACAACGTTCAAATACTAGACATAAGAAACACCATAAATGCTAAAGAATTTTTAGGAGCCTGGCTTTCCAGTGAATCATCAATCAATAGACACATCGAGATAGACAAAATTTACCGAACGATAAGAAGGAAATCTCACACACAAAGGGTCAATGTTCAAGTCAAAGAAACAATCAATTCCAATACAAGTAGCCTACAGGGTGTGAAAACACACAAACAAACAACCAATCACGTAGAAGATCACCTAGTAGGAGAGATGATTGATAAACTCGTGGAGAAATCTGAAAGCTCACTTCAAGAAATTGAAGTATGCGCTGAAGATGTCACCCAGTAGGGCGATGAAGGCTTCCCAAATACACTATGCAGCTAGCTCAGAGAACACTACCACATCCAAATAATATTTATCCTCCATCCAGGATTTTCAAGTCGAATAACAATATATAGTATAGTTTGTGACTCAGTACTATCGGTTCCGGAGCACAGAACAATCCCTTATCGTATTCTCCCAGTGTCTTCGAGATATGATTGCCGGTAGTTTGAAAGCCAGTTAAAAAAATGTGCATTGAGTACATTTAGCGACTCAATAAAAATTAGAAAAAAAATCGATACAATGTGTTGGATGAGAATTCAGTTGCCCACTGATTCAAAAGGCTCATTCCTACCAAAATGTGGGCCCTTCCGCCTTCCACAGCAATCAAAAATATTCTCAGAAAATCCAGCTGACACCTCTCAGTCAATTAACGAAATGCATATGTAAACTAGATCAAGAAAATACTTAGCTAACAGATACAATAACCTGCTAATTTATTAATTGTTATAATACTAGTGTATAACCTATCTCAGAGATTATGATTTATTTTATTATCAAAAAGACTAAAATATATTTTGAAATTCTGGGATCTAAATACCACTTGTCACAACTGATATGTATCCACATATATATATGTGTATGTGTATGTTGGTCTCTCTTTCTGTTTGCTCGCTTAGTCTGTGACCATTTCACTTTGATGAACCTGTCTCCTTTAACAATGTATATTTCCCTTACATATTATACATAATATGAGTGTTTGTTGACAGTCCGTTGCTTGGTGACAGATATCCATATTATGTGTGGTTGTTGACATGTCTGCTATATTTCGCTATGTATATATGGATCGATACTTCATTATAATTAGCCATTCATGTTAAGACTGTCTATTGATTTGTTCACACCCTTGTCTGGACATTCATATATATATTTCGCTCTCACAATTTGTGTGACCTACTTACTTTGGTGTGATACCACTATTGCATTCTCCTTGTGTTTGGAAAATAGAAGTATCATCGCAAACCTAGTGGTCTTCTGATTTCCGCCTTCTTGAGTCAGGACTATTAAATTCTCGACCAGTACATAACAATAATTTGGCGACGGGTACATAATAATTTGGCGACGGGGAAAACTACTATTAATCACTCAGCAGCAGAACATAACAACAACTTTATAATAAGAATAATAGTAACATTAATATTATTAATAATGATGATAATTTTTGTTTGTCATTTTAGCCATATAATGGATTTCTAGGAATGCAGTCTTATTGCAACGCCCCTGAAAGAGATACAGAAGTCCGTAAGTTGTTTTATAACGCTGATTTCCGAAATATTCCAAACCTATGGACTAATATGATTACAAATATCTGGAATAATTCGACTGATACAAAGAATAATATGTTTATTTCAATCATTTGGTTCCCTTAATAAATTTCGACAGAGAAGGAAAGACCAGATTTGCAGTGTAAAATGATATCATCATACTATTTCACAGGTTCTCATCAGCTGCGAACTACCTGAAATTACAATAGTTATAAATAATGATATTTCATACTTCAATGCTTGAAAGGTAATAGAGAAAATATTATAAGATGAATGCATCCGGAATACAAGTATTACAATTATTTTTAGTTTAAGTTACTATCAATTTATATGTTATCAAACTATGAAAAAAAGGGGCGGGGATGAGAGAAGACAGAAAAGTGAAAAATCTAATAAACAATGTTAGCTTGTACATCAACATGACAACTCAAGAAGGTTAAAGTTCATCAAATTGAAAACTTGCTTAGTGAGCTGAGCTCACTGATGTCTATGATTAATCAGAAAGAAGGGCTTCTATCCGATTTTCAGAGCATATTCCAAGAAACCTATGCTTAAAAGGAAGCAGATATTTACAAAGTCCAATTACCAGTCCCCTTGTGGATGCTGCTCCTTTTGTCGAGATTTCCAAATCTTTCAGAATATTAAACATACAAAGGACAGAGAATCTACTACGATTTGCTGAAGCGATTGTAATCAAACTTCCCAGACCAAACTTATGCACACAGAAGGAGAGTGTGGTCAATTTCTCAATACCTTGGTAACCATACTACTTTGATTACACTGATTAGTCATAGACATCAGTGAGCTCAGCTCACTAAGCAAGCTTTCAATTTGATGAACTTTAACCTTCTTGAGTTGCCGTATTGATGTACAAGCTAGCACTGTTTATTAGATTTTTCGGTTTTCTTTTTTCTCTCACCTCCCGCCCCTCTTTTCATAGTTTGATAGTATATAAACTGATGGTAACTCAAAATAAAATAGTTGTAATACTTATACTCCGGATGCGTTCATCTTATAATGTTTTCTTTATTACCTTTCAAACATTGAAGTATGCAATATCATTCTTTTCAGCCGATGAGAACCTGTAAAATAGAATGATGATATCATTTTACACTGCAAATCTGGTCTTTCATACTCTATCGAAATATGAAAAAGAGAAGACGTTCAGCGAAGAGACTCTTTTCAGCGAATTCATTCACATAGCTGTACAATCTCACTTATATATAATTATTTTGTGTGTGTGTGTACATGAGGTTTGTTAAGTTTAGATAATTGATCAGGTAATACAAGAATGATCTAATATAGAAACAAGGTTAATTAGACAGCAACTAAAGTAAGATTAAGTTAGTAAGTTAGATGACGTAATATAATTGACAAAAATGTTTCAACTTAGGTCAGGATAGCAACAGAGGTAATTACAGGTAGAGATTAAGTAGAAGTGGGGTAGATAATAATTCCATTTAAGTTAGGATTGAAATTGAGCAAAATAAGTTGGATCACGTAACATAAATAACTAGAAATTGAGCGTTGGTCAAGTCAGTAGCAATGGTAATCAGGTGTAAAAATTAAATCGGGTGGGGGTAGAGAAAAGGAAATTTGGAAATCTAAAATGTTACAACTGAAAAGGCAAAATAATACTAATGAGGAAACAGCAAGAAATAGGATTTACCCGTCGGCTATTAAGACGGATTACGTCCAATGCAAGTGTATTGATTGAATGAGTTTCTTTTGTATGCAGAGTTTATAAATGAAGTCCATACCTTACCACTTCCCAATCAGGAATATCTGCTTACGTATTAATTAATACATATTCTGAATTTTCATAAGAACTGTGTAGCATACTTTACAAAGCCTATTAAATATCTTACAAAGTGCTTTTGCAATAAAAAGATTCTTTTAACTATTTTCAGCACCTTCAAAGAATTTCCTTCTTCATGGTTATGGAAAAGATGCAATTTGCATAGATCATGATAAAAGTAGAAAATGGGAAATTCATCAAGACGATAGAACCAAAGTTGAAGGTTCACCTCAGTCAACATGTCTAAAGGTAACTTCAGAAGTGGATAAAAATAATAAAATTATTTTATACTTTAAACATAAATATGAAAAGAAAAGAAAATATTCGTTAGATTATTTCCTTTCTCACTTAAGTGACGCTTATTTTAAGTTAGAGCTTCAACTTTTTTAAAAGACTGCCGTCTTGAAATCACAATAATACTACTTAGTTATTATATGGGTTTACGAACATTATGGAAAAAAATTTACTAACCGAAAAGACAATTATATCTTTTTGCCAAGATAAATAAACTTAGAGTTATGAACTGCCACGCCCTAAACAGCCTCAGTATGAATGAGTGTCACTGAGACACCAGTGAAAACGAAGAATTCTTGGAGCAATAGCAACAGGAATGTTCAAGCCTTATTCATTATTGTATTGACATAAGCCAGGTTACCCCATACGACCAATAGTAGATTTTAGAAATACCCCTACTTATGAATTATCAAAACACTTAGCTCTAATATTGTGCTCCATTAGAAATCGTTCAAACTCTGGACTAACTAATTCATATGAGATGAAAAATAAACTAAATGACATCCAACCAGAGAATGATGAAAAAATGGTTATCTTTGATATAACTAGTCTTTATACTAATACACCAGTCTTTGAAGCAGTTAAAAAAGAACTAAATTCGGATCCTCAACTCACTCATAGAACAAAGCTGCTCATTGAAAAAATTATCTTAGGGATTAAGTTATGCCTGACATCTACCATCTTTAAATTCCAAGGCAAAATATATAGACAAACAGAAGGTGTAGCAATGGGATCACCAGTATCCCCTATCGTAGCAGATATATTTATGGACAGCCGGGAAAATAGTGCTCCTAATACATTTTTAATCCTACTCCAAAAGTATGGTGGAGATATATGGATGACACTTTCACAGTTTTAAAAATAGAACATATCTCTAGCTTCTTGACACATATAAACTCACAAGTAGAGGGAATAAAATTCACATTTCAAGCGGAAAATGAACAAGGAGAATTAGCTGTGTTAGACTGTAAAATAAAACGAATAGAAGAAGACAAACTACACACTAGTGTTCATAGAAAACCAACGCATTCTAATAGATATTAAGACTATAATTCGTCTCATCCGTTTACTGTTAAGGCAGGCTTAGTAAAGAATGTTCAAGCCATCCATATAAATACCTCGTAAATCTTTTTCCTAATTCATAGTTTAATGTAAAACATCTAAAATATGTTTTACTTTGTCATTGTGTGAACACAGCAATGCTACAATAAGCGTCTTTGTTAAGGCATTTCATAAACTCACCCGAGATATAAGCTTTTAAGACTGTGTATTCCCTGTAAAGTACTTCACAACCTTATTAATGATAATAAACATTTTCGTTATTTGTGTATAAATAATCCGAAAATAATACTCACCTTTGTTTAAGTGTGCTTCCGCCTTGACAAGGAATTTAACCTAAGCGACTGACTTCCATCAGTGTTACCATAAATACGCTTGATGTAAAACCCCCCGGTGAGTTGAAACAGCACACTTATATACTGAACACAAACATTTATGTCATTCACTGTAGTCTTGAAAGGATTTACATCACGCGGGCTAACTGGCTATAATGCTTTCGACTTGTCACAGTAAAGGCTTCTTGTACGTCTTAGTCTACACCAGTTGTTGCTGGAGGTAAAGACGGTATTTTTGAACACTGTCATCGTTTAAGTTAGAAATCATATATATATATATATATATACGGCTCTATTCTACTTTTAGTTATTATGGATAATTAAACTTGTGATCAAGTAATTCTATTAGCTACTGACATCCTGCAATGAAACTACCTAGCTCAGAGAACAAGATGGCGGCGAAATTGTTAGCATGTATTGCTCATCTTCCTTATAATTCTGAAGGTTAAATGTTGTCATTGCCTTCAGAAGCGAGTAGCCAGAAATAATCTACCTGTCACTAACCCTTAGAACAGACGAACATCATTGGGTAAGACTCAATTACACATATCAGCTGCCAAATTTGGCTGCTGAAAGTAAAAACAGTCTGGATGGCTTTTGCAAGCTGAGCAATGCTGAAAATCTCATCTTAATCTCCTATAAATCGTTCCTCACCTAAACCAGTGTTTGCTTGTGCACTTTAATTATATGGTCTTACATCATATTCGTCTTTTGAAAGTATTTATATCAGACTTCTCATATTAACTGGAGGAACTTCAATCAAAACTTCTGAATATATTGCATTATTCACACATGAATCCCAAACTGTGTTTACAAGAGTTTTCTGTCGCCTTCATAACTAAAACATCATTAGGCAAGTAAGTCATGTACTCGCCATCCTTTAAGACAACTATTATCATTGGCTATGAATTTATTTAACGCATTATTCATGTTTAGTGGATTTTCAGTCTAAATCGCTCAGCAGCTTCCGTATGTTTCCATGAGCTCTGGCTTTCGTGTGTTTCTTGAGTAGAAGTAACTCATTACATCTGAACCTTAAACCTTTATTAGTTAGTTAGTTAGCCATAGTTTCTTTTATTTTTTGGTTCATTCGACACTTATTTTTATCACTGAGTTCCTCGTATGCTGGCGCTTTTATTGGCCATGTAAGATATCTATCAACATTTTGTCAGTGTTCAACATCAAAAAGCAATACTTCTGTTATGGCAGAGGGAACTTCGAATTCCTTCTTGTATGAGAATGATGAATAACTATGCTTTATGTTGCAAAGTCTGAAATTTACTATTGTATTTCATTTGAATCACTAACATAATTCCCAACAATCTGTTTACACACTCGTTTGTTTTACTTTGCTGTCCTTTAGCACATATGTTCTGAAACGGAAGGTCTGATTTTAATTATACAAAATGAAAAAGAGTTAGTTTGTCCAGTAAAAGGGAAATACATTGATTTGACGTACAACGGTCCAGGTTTCCAGGTTACTGGTTCAATTATTTGTCCTCCCTGTAACGATATCTGCAAGGTATGTCACTCTTAGTTTTCCAAATAACAGATAAATTCTCCAATTTAAAATATATATGATTGTGTCTAACTGAGCCTATTTCAAAAGATGGAAATCTCAATGGTAGAATCAAAAAGCATGACACGAGATCAATGGATTAATTTCTACTCATGTGGAAGTAAACATCACTAATACCTTGCCTATTTTTTGCATCTAGTTCATCTAAGTCGAAGTCATACCTGTTATAAATAAAAAAAATAACCATCTTTAATTCATTAAACAATGCATTTCAGGAATAAAGAAAAGTTCGGTTACAGGATTTCTTCTTGTTGTGTCGTTTAAAGAACCATTGCAAAACCTAGGAGTACTAAAGAGATATTCTGTCTTAGTTCGGGACTCTTCATGAAGACGGGTGTGAGGACAAATACTTGCCGAAGACATTGGCTAGTGGTCGCGCTATGTCGTGAATCGGCGGAAGTTAGAATTCATGGGCGAGCAAGTGGATCGAGTTTCAATTGCTTAGCGGTCTACGAGCTCTCCTTGTATCTCGAAGGTCCTGAGTTCGAATCCCAGTCGGTGCGTACTGATGAAGAGTCCCTAACTTAGATGAAATAGCTATTCAGTATTTAAATTTCAGGATGCACATGTTGCCTAACGTACTTTGGAAAATGATGAAGAAGCTTTATGAAGATGACTTTCCGGCGGTAGTGATTCTCACAAATGAAAGGAAAGCGACTGAAGTAACATTCAAGTCTGGAATATAAAGCACTTCCCTGTTTGTTATTTGTTACAATACACTCTGCATAACCGACTAAATAGTTAGTTTACTATTACTAAAATAAAAGATATGAATTCCAATTACTGAGATTAGTTCAATCTGTGGGAATTTTTTTTTCATTTAACAATGTATCAATATTTTTCACGGTATAAGGAATGATTAATAAGCGTTAAAATGCGTGAAGGTGAACTGAAAAGTAATTGAATTCTTGTTAACCATTTCCCACTAGTCATGTACACATTTACGGATGTACAGTTATTCATACGCTGTGGACATTTGAAATAATCCTTTATTTCTACTATTTTCAGAAATGTCCAAAAGCCTAATAAACAACAGCAGTCTGTTTATTGCACCAGATATAGAAAACTATTGGATTGAAAAGGTGAAAACAAGTCAAACACTCCTACCACTCACTACACTTTCAAATAAACATGTGTCAATTGGATAAAGAAATATACACTGATGTACATTTCAACATGCTTTTTATCTTCATATTTTATGCTCCTCCGTGAGATCTTCTTGTTTATTAATAAAAAAATGAAAATTTACCAAATAGCGTCTTTACTCCTAGCATCTTAATACTTTAAGAATAAAATATTCTCAGAATAAAATTCAGAACGACAAATGTGCGCGAACAAAAGTGTTTCCAATTACATTATCATTAGGCTTAAATCTGGCATAATTTATTTAACAAATTAATAAAAATTACATATAAACTAGCATCAACAGTCATTTTTTCGATCTTGGCCGCAGACGGATAAATATTTGTTACAGGATTTCATCATGAGCTGGCATTAGTTAGAAAACCATTGAAAAACCTGGGAGTACTGGACAGCTGTTTTGTCATCGTCTGGAACATTACATCAATATGCACCCACCGCAAGGGTTCGAACCCAAGACGTTCTGGTTACAAGGATAGCGAGCTAGTAGACCATTAAGCCGCTGGGACGCTGTCCAATGGCCAGTCCATGGATTCTGACTTCTGTCAATTCACGACATAGCGCGACCACTAGCCAATGTCTCTAGCGACTATTTATCGTCACACTCAACCTACTGCACCCTACTGGTCACGAATTCTCACTAGAACCACAGGTAACTACCTACCTGAATAGGGTAAGTCGCCAGCAGACATCTCATTGATATTCAAGTGTTGGTTTGTAGGGATTTGATTGGTTACACGTTTTCATCATGAGCTGACATTAGTTAGAGTGTGTACTGATGAAAGGTCTCAAACCAGGACGAAACAGCTGTCTAGTACTCCCTAGGTTTTCCAATGATTCTC